TATTATTAACAACAGTTATGAGATTATATAATTGTGAATGTATATATGAGAAATAAAAATTTAAATCTAATAAAAAAAAGAAAAGAAAACAAAAATGGACCTTTAAGAGGCGAAAAATATGGGACACATAGGGAAGATGTAATGTATTAGATGCAATGCACCTGGGAAGATTTAGTTTAGTTATGATCTGGGGCAAAGAAGATAACTTCATCACTTACCAATGTTTTCTAATTATTACTTTTAATTTAGGAGCTGAATCTCTTTAGTGTCAATAGCAACTAAGGTTTTAAACAGTAATGTTTTCCAGCATGGGTTGAGAGATGCTGGGAGTGGGTTCACCGACAAATGCGCGCTCGACAAAAGCACGCCGACGAAACCGCGGCGAGAAAACGGCGAGTTCTAAATAGCGCCAACGAATGAGCACAGAAGCGCGCCGACAACAGCGCGCCGACAAAAGCGTGCCTTCAACGAACAATAACAACCTAATAACCCTAATCCTCACCCTGAACCTAGCCCTTACCTTAACTGAAATCGCGCTTTTGTGCGCGCGGTTTTGTCGGCGCGTTGTTGTGGGCGCGTTTATGACGTTGCGGTTTTCTCGCCGTGGTTTTGTTGGCGCGCTTTTGTCGTGCGCACATTTGTCGGGTCACGCTGGGAGTGAACCTATGGCATGAAAACATGCTTCTTGTCTGACTTGGCCTCTCCTGATTATGGATTATATTTTTCCAAGAAGTTGCAGTTTTTCCTAAGGCAAAATGCTTACTGTTATCTTTAATTACTCTATAATTTGCTTCAGGAATCTTTGTGGCTGTCTTCTTAAACCCAAAGGAAGTCTATTCAACGGCTTAACTCCGCAAAAGAATATTCATTACAACAAGGACATGTCTGGCCAATGTGAAGATCATATAACAGTGAACAGAAGAGAAGGACATTTGTTAAGTTTACTGATATACTTACTTGACGGTTTCTGTGATGTTCCCTAAATGGGTGAACTGCTTTGAGTAACTGATGCACATCTGGAATCAAGAAGAAGCCACGTGAGGAATAGACAAACATGTGATAGACTTGGCTGCCTCTTCTCCATTCAAAATCCCTCAGGCAACACTCATATTCCTTCCGTTAACAAGCCCAACTCTTACGCAAGAGTCCGCAGCCTCCTTCCCCACAGAACCCAGGAACATATTTCTCATGTAATCCATCCCCCATCCAGTAGCTGTGGTTAACTCTCTCCTGGGACTTGCGGACAACTTATTCACAGTTGCTGATGGCTGTCAGGACTGAATCTTTGGGGAGATCAACAGACAGGTAGGTGACCCATTCCAATCTGATGCGCGGGAGCAAGATACTTTAGATAAAGATTACTGGACCCTCACCACTTTCGGAACTTTTCCCCCCCTTGGCTAAACCAGGCGTGGGTGTGGCCAGCCTGTCACGTATCCGGCCCGTGAGCTGGCAGTTTGACAGCCCTGCTCTAAGGTTATATTGCTGGGGCTGGACTCCAAAGAAGGGTGACCCATGATGGGTGCGTCACAGATGGAGGAACAGACTAAATACAACCCAGCGGAATGGGAAATGACAAGAATAC